AAAAAAAACTAACAAAACCCACACCCTTCTGTTGACAACTTGTTTCCTATTAAGTTTAGGAATATATGTAACTCTTTACATAACACATGCACTAACCTCGCAGTGATATTCAAATATTGCACTTTCAGTAGTATTAGCCGATTCTTCTGTTCAGCACAAGTTTCTAAGGATGAAGACTGCTATTATTAAAAAAAAGAGAGAGAGAAAGAGAGAGAAAGAAAAAAGATAGCAAGAGAACGTGATCTATCAAGCTAATAGAGAATACAAGTGCTGCTGCCCTGGGCAGTTTCAATGCAGCACTGGAGAAAACAAAGACTACTAGCAGCGTTGGGACGTGCTCTTTTGAAGCTGTTGAGTAGGCACAAACTTCTTGATTCAGATCAAGCCTTGTATCTTCAGTGTAAGTTTCCTCTTCTTTGGTCTTGAGTTGTTGTTACGATGTGGTATATTCTTTTCCTGATCTGAACTTGAAGCAGCAGTTTCAGGTGGTAAATTCTGTTCTGTTCCACTTCATACTGGAGAAAGGAAAAAAAGACACACAGTAAGTATCACTTTAAAAGAAATGATACATCAGTCCTAGGTGTTCTGACAAACAGGTGCATTTCCTCTACCTTAATACTGCAGGTTTGATCCATGCTAGGAAAGACTGTTTTACAGATATATTTGGCATTCCCATTTTTGGTTTTGTTTTCCAAGAAACACTACCTCCAACCCAGTGATATGGTATTTCCAATTTTAAACTCTTCAGATACAGTTAGGCATTTCAGTAAAGGTCCCAGTTTGCACAATTAAAACAGCAACTTCATTTTGATGAATAGCAACATAATTTAATGCAAGTCTTAGTCCTCCTATCAATAACTTTATATGGGTGCTGTCTCATAATTTAATTTATAAGTGCTTGCACAGACCTTCAGAGTAGCAATAGAGTGTATGTGTGTGTGTGAATTAGAATTTCCTGGTAATTTTTGTTCCAAAAGGTAAGTCAAGGACTAGCAATATCTGAAGCACCTTTAGCTTTGTATAAAAATAAACTTCTCAATTATATGTACAGATGCTGCATGCCTGTTCTATACAGACCATACGCACCCTGGCATAGCATGTAAAATAAGCGCAGAGCCATTCTCTGGACTTCTTCATAGTGTTTGCAAAATGTTGATTACATATTAATAATACTTGTGTTGATAACATAACAGAGAAGCCTCTCTGCAACAGTAACTTGATAGTAATTCTCTCCTAAAGTTTTGCAGTACCACTTGGTGTTTTCATGAGAAAGTGGTTTAGACAAACTGCCACCTATCACATAAAACTGAAACCTTATAGAAACAGAATTTTTGAAGAGAAATAAAATAAAGTTTTGATTTGAGTTTGTGGCTTACTCAGTAGATAAAGGAAAAAAAAAAAACAGGGAGGAGATTTTTGTGCACAAAAGCTGGTAAGAAGCAACACAGCTATGAATCTATGGATAAACGAGCATGTTATGCAGTAATTTAAAGGCATGAAGCATCAGAGCACAGCTCTTCCCCAAGTAGTTCCACAAGTCCCACACCAAATGAGCAAAAATATGGACAAAGCCTATTTCTCCACTGTAGCGGGAAAGTGAATTTCATAATTTACATTGAGCTTTGAATTCCCTTTAGTGAATTTGAATGAGTCAACTTAAGTGACTGAAACATGAATGCAAAGACATTTAACTCTCAACACAGTGAAAATGCTGACTGCAGTCAGCTATTACAAATAAGAATTCTAAACTCCAAAAGCACACAATGGCTGTAGGCAAACTCATCAACCAGTTTTCACAGAAGTTTGTATTTGAATGGCCTCTCCTCCAGATGAAGCATCTTCCTTTAGTCACCACTCTGAAAAACTTTCAGCTAAAGTAAGTTTTCTTGTCAGACCATTACACATACATGAATGAGACTAAATATAAAACTGGATGAGGGCAGTACAAACCAGTACCTGGTATGAAAGGTTTGCAGTGAAAGATTCAACTATAAAAAAATATAAATCAGAAGACACAAACCTATTGCAAGAACAACAGGATCGCTAGACTTTTCACCTAGCTCCGTATTAGATTCAGGCAACCGTTACCAAAATCTCTTTCAGGATATTAATATTTTTTGGACAGCATTTCAGATCTCAAATGAACATCCCCCCAACCAAGTTCAGAAGAAATGAAGCAAGCATACACTGTATCACAGGAACTACACAGAGACACTTTCATCTAATTAAGACTAATATTATTGGAGCTCTACTAGAGCTGTAACTTGTGTCATATTACATTTCTTATTTTCCTGGGCATAGACTATATTACATTTTCATAGAATAATCAAAACACCTTTCTGCCCAAAGACAACTAACACTAATTTTTTCAGGCAATGGAATAAGGTATAAGCTTTTCCCTTAAAAGCCAGTTTGATGTGGTAACGAGATTGGTTGACTACACTTAAGTTATTAAAAAAAAAATGGGGCTGTCAAGCAAGCATAACTCAAGTAAAAAAAAAAATCTCACTGTGTGTGTCTGCCTCAAATTCTTTACTTTTTAATTCAGCTACTATAAATACTCCTCCAAATGGTAAACACCCTAAGCAGCTGCCCAGCCCCAAGTCACGCTGGGTTCTCCATTTGTATATTTACAGCTGAAAGGATTAATGCAAAGACGGAGAAGACCTGCACAAGTCCTATTCTTGAAGTCTTTCAGGCGCAGGCTCTGCTAAATGACAGTAAGTCACATAAAGCTGTTCACAGCTAGAAACCCATCTATTCAGCCTAACAGCAGAACGTGCTGGCTTACAAACACTGTTTTGTTTCCCATTTTCTTCACAAAAAGAGCTAACTGCAAGAACATGCATTTTTACAGGATTAGAACATGTGCTTCTAGAAATAGCCATCTCTTACGTGACTAAGATCAAATTTAATAAAAAAATAAAGCTTTATATTTTCAGTATGTACGCACAAAACAGCTACTCCATATCCTTTCCAATGAATATTGGAAAGCAGTACCAAACGCTAGCTCTTGAGCCAATCCATGACAGCTACGAGATCAGCTACCAACATTCACTACGTTAGTGAAGTCAGTTTTACATCAAAAAATGCATCTACGGGGGGAAAAAAAAAGTTAAGGAACTTCCAAGGACATCTGTAAAGGCATATATACCTGCAGAATACTTAAAAAAAAAAAACCACAACCGTAACACCAAAAATCCACTTCCTTTTAACGGGTCAGGAGTCTGGGAAAGAGCCCTGCGCTCGTTACTCATCCAGAGGACAGAAAACCGGACCCGGACCGACAGAGACTCGCCGCAGCCGTCAGGAGGGGGCCTGCGGCGCGGCGAGCTCCGAGCGCGGCCCTCTTCGCTGCGCTGCAGCAAGATGGAGGCCGCCGAGCGGAGTCGCGGGCCCCGCCGAGGGGCGGTGCCAGAAGCCCCAGCCAGCCGCGCGCCGAGCGGGGGCTGCCGTCTGCGGGAGGCGGCCGGCCGCGGCCTACGCT